CTTGTTTTGCAAGCTTCTTGTAAAGGTTCTTTTAATAGGAACCAATACTTTTCAATAACCAGAACATCCTCGTTGCTTTGTCAAAAGGAATGCCCGTCGGATTCACTTCCGATGTATATTCGACGTCAACTTCATGAACATGTTCATCTGAATTCGATAATGGTGGTCAAGTCTCTCTCTAGGGTTAGCAAAAAAGCTTGGTCCTTTGGCAAACGCGCCGTAGTTTCAAAAGAATCCCGAAAGCGGCATAGCCTATAAACAAAAAAGCATCACTCGGTTTTTCGACGGGTAAACATCAAATGAAAGCTTAGCCTACAAAACACGCCTGAATAAAGAGCTAATCATCAAAAACTTTGTACCCAAAAGAATGTGGTTCATCAAAGCTTTCGAAATTAAGTGATAGATGATATAGAATTTTGAGCATGACTCGTGATTTTAAGGTTGATATCAACTCAAGTCACTTTCGAAAGACAACCAGGCAATCGGCCCGTTGTGAGACGAGGATCTTGGCCTGATTTGAACGTCTGGGCATGAAAAACGTTTCCAAATGAAAAGAAGTTCACTTTCAGAAGAATCATTGCAATAATTGTAGAGTAGATGCTCGTGTCAGGTTCTTGCTGATTCCATCGATCCTAGAGGTAGTCCCATCGCGGTTTGGGGAAGGTCAATCATGGGGATAATACACGTGTTTGCGAAAATTGTTGTAAATATACCAAGGAAAGATAAAGGATTTTTTGGGTCCTTTTATGTTGTGGAGAGTGGACCACACAGTCTATCACAATAACAAGATTAATGAAGAAATAAGTAAGAAATAGAGAAAACAACGCATTAGGATTTATATGGTTAGATCCGAATGTTAAAACTTTAGCAATAAATTCATTATGATTTACGAGAATTACAAGCTTAGGTCAAATGCTTTTCCACACTCAAGTTCCGGATTCCACATAATCAATCCTCATCTAGTGATTTACTCAAACTCTTAACCGTTTTCTACACAATCGATCATAATGACGAGATTAACAGAGACATAAGCGAGAAATAGAGAAACAACACACCAAAATTTATGTGGTTAGGTCTGTGTGTTGGAACCTCGGCGATAAATTTACATCCAAATCCTAGATCACACCCAATCAATTCTCATCTGGTGTTTGGATTATACCCAATCAATTCTGATCTAGTGTTTCATTCAATCTGGATATTAATTCCGTAAACCACATGTGGGTTGGAAACCACATGGCTGAAAAGTCATCACAAACAAATTACCTGAAGGACTTCGAAAGAATGAAAACACCTTTTCCGTTGCCAATGGAATGAAAAGAGGGTTACGGGATGAGCACGGATCACTCACTTATCCATTCTTTCGTTACTTTCTTCATTTTATATTGACAATTCACATAATCTTTCTTTTGGTTTATTTTTTTTATTTAGAATAGCAAATTAATTTCTTTTATCAACATATTACAAGTTACAATTCATATTGATAGCTATTATCATCTCCATTGGAACGGCAGGGGAGGCCCGGCCCGGCGACGCCCGCCGGCCCTTAATAGTAAAAAAAAGAAAAAATAAAATAAAATAAAATAATTAAAAATAAGAAAAATTGAAAAAAATTATCCACGTCAGCACCGGCCATATCATGTAGGACGGCGGGCATCCGCATCATCGATTTCAAGCCAAAATTGGCCGGAAGGACTACATTGGCAATTCGTCAAAAGATTTAGTATTAAATTGGCATAATTCAAAGGTTTATGACTGAATTGGCCGTTGTACAATAGGTTTAAGACTTTTTGGACAAATTTCCTAGATTTTGGGGTCCTTTTATGTTTTGTAAAGTGGAAGATGCAATCGATCATAGTAGTGAGATTAACGGAGAAATATAGAATTTTTTTTATGTATATTGCGGTTCTTTCTGATATGCATTATTTTCTGCTAATTTTTACCCTTTTTTATAAGTTAAGCCTGTTATGAACATAAAAATGCAACCACCTTTAAAGTTTTGTTCCAGTTGGAATATAAAAGCTTACATTAAGTATAAGTTGCTCACTTTTAGACTAAAATGAATAATAATAGATGCATTGTCATGCATGGTGCAGAAAGACTAGGTCTCGTGAGCTCAACTAATAACTCATGAGTGTACCATGACAAATCTCATTGAGGTACATTTTGTCGTTTAGTATCATATCCTTCAAATATTTGTGGGTGTCCTATTGAGATTTATAGACTACAATTAGGGCTGTCAAAATGGGTCAAAAACCCATATCTAACCCACATTTATTTAAATGGGTCATAAATGGTTACCTCAAACTTAAAGTATGAGTCATAATTGGTTTTAAAGTTAAATGCCTAAAACAGATGGGTTTTAGTGGGTTGGTTATAAACTCATACAATTAGACCCATCTGTTTGACGGGTCTAACTACAATGAAGAACAATAGATGCATTGTCATGCAAGATAAAGACACATTAGGTCTCTTGAGTTCATCTATGTGACTCATGAATTCACTATGACAAATAATATTAAGGTGCACTTTGCCCTTTAGTGTAAGAGACTCCAAATCTTTTACAAGGGTGTATTCTTGAGATTTATCATAGAAATAAATTGTCCCAAAAAAAGTGAAATGCTTATATTAAACAAAAGTTGTTTGGATAGGCGTGTTGTCATGCAAGATGCAAATACATTAGGTCTCTAAACTCATCTATATTATTATTATTATTTGGTCGAAAACTCATCTATAGTATATATCATGTGAGCTCACTTTAAATTTAGACAAAATCATGCTGACGTGCAATCATTCTTCTAGTGTCTAAAATCTAAAAAATTTTACGCTTCCTTATTACTGAGATCTGTTATGACATAAATAGTCCTTTAAAAAAACGGAAACAAGGCTATGTTAAAACACCATTCTTTTTTGGTAAATTAAAAATGAAGAATAATGTATCCTACCACCGCCCGCAGTGACTGCGTTGGTTCGCGCTCTCTGCCCCTCACGAAGGGTGGGGAGTTCGAATCCCAGCGTAGTCGTTAGGGATTCTTAAGTGTGGCGCCGTGGTGGTGGGTCCTGCGCTAGCGTCACCTCGGGTTTACGTCGCCGGCTATCGACTGTACGGCGGTTCCCGGATCATCAAAAAAAGAAGAAGAATAATGTATCCTTATCATCCGAGGTACAAGTATACTAGGTTTCTTGAGATCATCTTAATAGCTCACAAGCGTCACTAAAGTCAGACAAATCATCGGGCACGATAAAACATGCACACATAAATTAAGCTCATAAATTTTTAATGGTGTTGATTGATGTATTTGACATGTGAAACTCTCGCATTAATTATATAAGACATACTATAAAATTGGCAAATGTGATCGTCAGCCATGACTTCTCAGATTAGAACACAAATATATGAATAGTCTGGTTTGGAACGTGCAAGCACGGGGCAACTTGCTAGCAATATGGTAAGACAACGACAGTAACCTTTGGGCTCGGCTTACGGACCTCATAGTGCATCATATGCGACAAAATTGACATGCACTGGGAAAAAGTGGCAGCCCATTGTCAGTAAAGGTTGCAAAATTAGTCCCACACATATATTTACGTTTATGGAATATTTCCAATGAACTTCGTTCAAAATAAAGTCACTTACTTTGGTGGTTGATGGGCACAGAGCAACTTTGCGTGAGAAAAAAACAAGGCAAAGTCCCTTTCATTTCAAAAGTGAAAGTAAAATGGCCAATATTCAGCTTGGACCCAGTATGCATGAGAGAGTAGCCGTCAATCGTCCACGTTGTGGGACTCGTCACGAATGCCATGCACGATCCGAGAGAGAAAAGAACAAAAATTTAAAGGAACAAAGAAATCGAAAGGTTCTTTGCAATTGCATGTAAAAGAAACTAACGTGGCAAAAGTTGACATTAGGACCAGAATGTCATTGTGACCCGTAAATTAGAGGACTTCAGATATTTCCTTCGACTTTCCTGTTTCAGTTGCCACGTTTGTAATATGCGAAAATCTGTTGTGCCGACCAGAGAGTTTCTGTAAGCAAAATGGACAAGCACGAGAAGACTTTGATTCACCAGGGTTTGTTCGGATAACATTGCAGAGAAATGATTTTGCGTATGACGTTGTTTGATAATACATGAAAAAATGAAATTAAGCTCTCATATTCAGAAACCCTAGGACAGACACCAAATCTCGTAGAATATATAGGTTTATGCAGCCCATCATCCGTGCAATATATCCAAACGTTTCAATGACTAACACATTAATCGCACTAGCTTTCCAAGTGGTGCAATTAGTAAAATCATTGTGGATGATCATTATTTATGTACTCTTACATGCGCAATGTGTAAGGTCACCTCATACCGGGTTTAATCTCTCGTAAATTGGTTGACTGGTAAAACTTTTAGTGTAGCAGCGACATATCTTGTGCTTGAATAAAATGGCGCCCTACTCAAGTGTACTTTGGGGCAATGCAATCCGCCTCAATGAGTGGATTCTTAGTTGATGCACGGGAACGAGACAATTTAGGCGCATTTGCGAAAATTAGACGAGTTAAAGGTTCAAGTTATCCCACGTTATATGAAAAGGAAGTGTTTAATGATTAATTGAATTATGGCGATGCATTAGGTCTTATAATTAGGGTACTGAAGCTTAGTTGGGGCTAAAACTCAGTTGTCAACTTTTGGGCCTCCAAGTCACTTAAGCCGATACTCATTAACAAGGCTTTCTAATTCTTTTCAAAAAATGGAAATATTCGACCTCTATTATCTTTTTATTTTATTTTTTGGAGCATCATGGTAACGAGTCATTTAAAAGCATTATGAAAATATATATCATGAGTAAGTGCCACATAGTATGCAATAAATGAGAATCACTACATGTTCAACAAGGCGACCGACAAGAAAAATCAATTTCATTTGCTAAATAATGACTTTCACCAATTTTAGGCTCCTGATCTTCTGCATCTATGCATTTCTTCTCAGCTTGAACTGGTAAGGAACCGTCGGTGGCTAGATTTTGCTCATGCGTTTGCCCCATAAGACACTGTAAAGGCCTAGTACTAACATTATCTCACCAACAATGCTGATGAAGAAACCAAACATGAGGTCATATTAGTCACAATTGATCCAAAATTGTGATTAGTGATCATGTTTGTGATAAGTATCTATGTAAGCTTAAGAAGTCCGAATTAAATCAAAAGCAGCATACCATAAGAACTGAAGAAGACGGCAAGCTTGATTATACTCTTATTGTCATCAATCTTGTCTTTAAAATTTAACTTTTTACAGAAAGTTGCGAAATTTTATTTGAGGAGGATAAGCTTTCATGTTATCACAACGTAGAAATGTTGCACGAAAGGGAGGTTTTCAGCACACGGGATTATGTAATGTGTGATCTACCTGATTTAGTAGTGGACTTCAGCTTTGGTTTGAGGTTGCTAGTTAATGCGGGCAAAGTCCCATGTCAAGCAATTAAGGAGATATTCTAAGACTTAGAATGGGTTGAGTTCCCTTCCCTAGCAAGCTAGTTTTTCGGATGAGTTTTTTAACCTCTTGTAACGCATCAAAATGGTATCGGAGCCATTCCTTGGACGCCGCCCACCTTCTGGCACTTTATCCTTGAGGCTGCGGTCTCTTGGTGCGGATGAGGGCAGGATGATGTGGGTAAAGTCCCACGTCATACAACTAAGGAGATATTTTGAGACTTATAATGGATTGAGTTTCCACTCTTGGCAAGTTAGCTCTTTTTAGGATGAGTTTTTCCACCCTTTGTAATGCATCACTAGTATTCGAAGATAGGAAATTGATGTGGACGGCTGAATTTCAGTAAATTCTCTTATCCTTACTGTTTAACGATCAACAATATATAAATAAAGAATAATTTTAACGAATAAAAGGGCTTGTGTGTGGCGTCTTGTGCAGGGATGGGGCTCGGACGACTAAATCCATTTACGCCTCGGCCCGTAAGTAGGGCAACATATTTGGCCTCATGTAGTCCCAAAAACATATGAATTGTGTGGGTTTCATAAGTCCTAATAGGATTCGACAATGCACACATTTATTGGAACTGGTCAACGCTTTCTCATACTCTCCCTCTCTCTCTCGTATATATGTGTTAATTCCTGTCCTACTACTCATATCAATTGTTGGAGGTGATGCCATCAGAAATAGGATAAAGATTACCTGCCAACATTTATGTTCTCGCCCAAGAGAAACATGGAACCGATCATTGTTAGGATTGGACTCAAGGGTGTTGACATGGCTCGGAATACTGGTCCCTTCGTTGCGATCACCCAAGATTGTAGATAATGCCCAACTCCCGTGACCATGATTCCCTGATCATACATAGTTGCATATATCATAATGTCGTATTGAAAGTATACAATTTGCACACAATTTGATTGGCTTAGGAAAAATCTATTAGGATCTTGTCAAATCACTCAGTATGTTTAAGTGTTTGCATATAGTTTCTGTTGATACTAACAATAAAATTTAGTATCGAACACCAAGAACAGCACTTCTGCTTGGTGTGTCGATGCTGGTTTCTCAATTCATGATTCCATATGTTCCATCTCTCGACTTTTGCAAATCTGAATAGCGGCTTGGTAGTGACAAATTTCTAGTATTTGCTTTTGGGTAGAAAATGAAAAAGAGTAAATGCAAAAACCATCCTCAATTTTATTCTTCATATCAAATACCCCAATCACATTTCAAAACCTACATTTTACATCTTTCTAACAAAAAAATAAAACCCATTTGCCCTTGTGCACGTTCAATCTAAACTCAAGCCCCGCTCCACTCTCTCCGCCTACCTTTACTCTCTCTCCTCACAGCAGCTCAATAAAGTTACGATAGAGTGCCAAACCCACAGCCTTGAGCCACCGTTCAGCGCCACAACCCGACAATGACGTCGACAATGACACTCTCGCCCCACTCTCCGCATCCCTATCTTTGTTTTTGGCGAGATCTTTAATGGCTCGCGATGGCAAGGCCATGCGAGCTCGGTTTGAGCCAGTGGCTTGTGATTGTCAAGGCCGTGCGAGGTTGGCCTCTAGCTCATGAGGGCCGCAGCTGCTCGTGAGCCTCTGCGACAGTCTTGCGAGCTACAGAAGCTCTATAGCAGAGCTCCGCCATGGCGGCCTCGACTTTGATCTAGTCGTGAGCTAGTGAGATGATTGTCGTCGGCCTCAATCTGAGTTTGGTAATGACCTTTGAAGGAGAATTGTTTATGTCTCGAATTTGAGCCATTACGGAACCTAACCCGATTAAAGGATGTAGATTAATTTGTAAATTATTAAAGATCACCACACTAGAGAAAGAAATACAAAGACAAAGATGAAGGGCAAAAAAAAAAGAGCCCACGTTTCCTATATTATATTATAGGAAACGTGGGTTCAGCTAGGGTTTCTAGAAGAAAAGAAAAGAAAGTAAAATAAATAGGTTTTCTTTTGGCTCTAGTCATGGTTGTTCTTTTTCTTGAAGTGTGGCCACACAGAGAAGAAGCGTGTGGGTTTTCTTCAACGAGAATAGTAGCCGCACAGCAAAAAGGAGCTTGGCAGCTGCACAAGACTTCCTGGTGAGCCGCCGCACAAAAAATGAAAAAGAAGCAAACAGACGCTTCTTGGTTCGGCCGTACACAATGATTTTGTGCTATGAGTTTTTTTATATCCTAATGAGTTATTTTATTTGTAAATATTTTGAATTTAGGCTTAATCTAAGTATGGAAAACACTCGAGTGTGTAAGTGATTGTAAATTAGATTCTCTGATTATAGTAGATTATTTACTTTTAGCTGTCTTCGTGGATGTAGGTATCGATATTCAAGCTGAACCACGTAAATCTTTGGTATCATTTATTATTCCTTATTTATTTCTTCGGTGATTTCACATTGACATAAATTGTAAGATCCTGGTTAGCTTTTGCATTATATTACAGCAATTGGTATTAGAGCTTGATAATATGATTTTTTGGATTTTGATTTGGGGATTTTGCTCGTCTGATTATAATTTGAAAATTTTGTTGTTGCAATTATATCTGGAGAGAAAATAATAATTGAGAAGTTTAATGGGAGGAATAATTTTGGGTTATGGAGTGTTAAGACGGATGCGCTATTAACAACTTAAGGTTTGGTCGAAGAATTGGAGGGTAAGGATAAATTGCCCGAAACAATGAAAGATATCAAAAAATAAATTCTAATTAGGACGGCAAGGAGTATAATCCTGTTGAACCTATCGCATGAGGTGTTAATAGTGGTAGTTGAAGAGAAGGATGCTGCAACCTTATGGGCTAAACTTCAGGTACTATATGTAATAAAGGGTTTGAATAATCGCTATTACATGTTGAAGAGGATGTTTCAGTTTAGATATACTAAAGAACGTGGTAAGTGATGAGACTAGCAAATATCATCTAGAGGGGGATGAATAGGTGATTTGAGCACTGTTTGATCAATTTTAACGTGGAAGCAATTTTTTTCAAATAAAATATGAACAATGTTCAGATTTTAGTCAGAATTTGAATGGCAATCAGATAAATGTGCAATAAAAAGTTTTAGGGAAGACAGAATATGCACATAGATATATAGTAGTTCGACTTAGATCAAACCTACGTCCACTTTTCCACGCTGACAGCCTACTGGCTGGATTTCAGTAGATGATCGATCAAGAGATTACAAATTCTGAGTGATATTCAGAAGGATTACTCTATCTCTCTTACAACAAGTCTCTCAAGATCATAGATTTAAGCTCGAGAAATACAAGTAAAAACTAATTAGAGTTTGCTCAGACTTTGGAATGGATGATTCTGGATTTCGTCTCTCTTGCTCTACTCTTTGATAATTTGTCTCTTTTTATACTCCTCCACTTCTAAACTAGCCGTTGGACAGTCTTCAGAGGATCATATTCCAGTCTTCATCCTGGACAGATTTGTATAGAAAAGATTGAGTAGCCGTTGACTGACAAAATTAGAATTCCACTAAATCTGGTCACCCATACAACTAGAAATTTGATTTCTATAAGTAGAGCTTCTCCATTTAGAAATAAACTTGTTGTGGGGTTTGATTGTCAATTAATTTAGGATATCTTGCTATATAAATATTTCTTGCAAAATAGCCTTTTAAGATCGAATCAATAAATTCTTTCCATTGGTGAAACCCAAACCATATTACTAGTCGTTGTTTACGTTCTGAGTAAGTGATAACGTTTGGATAAACTTGCGCTCAGAACTTGAAGTCATAGTGGTTTGTTTGGTAAATTCTGAATATATTGATTCTAGTATATAAACTGAGGGTCTTCAACTTCTGTGCACAAAGTCTGAGCTTTGTCTTTTGTGGTGGAGAACCTGGACTTCTTCTTTTCATATACTTAAAGTTTGGACTTCCAGAATATAACTGCCTAGACTTAGAATACTTCAAAAGCATATGTCAAACTTTACTCATGGATAATTTTGTCGTCATCAAAATCTATTAGGAAGTTTTCTCAACAGTAAGATTCTGGATGATGAAGAAAAGAGCACGACGTTGTTAGCTTCTTTACCAGAGCAATGTGAGTACTTTACTGATTCAATCCTGTAGGGACGCACTACGATTATCTCGGAAGCGGTAAAATTCGCCTCTTTCTCTAAGGAGTGGTAGAGAAAATAGCGAGATAACAATCTGGCGCAGGATGTAGCACGGAGACTAGTGAATCGAGGTAGAGACCAACATCAGAGGTCCAGTAGCAGTAAAGGTAAAAGCAGGTCTAAGTCACACCATAGAATGTCCAAGGGACACATGAAGTGTTTTCAATGTCACGAGGAGAGGCACATTAAGAGACATTGTCCGAAGCTAAGAAATCAAGGTGACAGATAGAATGCCACAAGTAGTGTGACGAACGTTGCCGAGGAGAGCACCAGTGATGTAGAGGTTGTCTTGTGTATGACTACTAGTTCATCAGGAGAAGAATGGGTGTTAGATCTAGGGTGTTCTTATCATATGACGCTTCATAGGAACTGATTTACTACTTACCAGACTGCAAATGGTGTCACGCCCCGAACCCCAACGAGCTCGCGACATCACCTGCTCCGGTCGAAATGATGCGACGTCCCAGGAACGTCGCCGACCCAACCCAAAAATCAGAGCCACATGCGGAAGCGAATAACAAAACCCCGGACAAATAATGACGACAACGGGGTAGAACAACAGAACAATCCAGCAACCACATATTCATACAACACCAAATATACAAACGTCATATTACAGACATAAATACAGACTAACATCCTCAGTCACCGTTTAAATAAAAGTTCAGGGGTTCGGTTATCTTAACTTCATTATCGGATAACCCAAGTTATACAACCCCTAAAACACCCTAGGGCAAAACCTAAGGGTCGCCCCCTTCCATTCTGCTTCTGAATTTTTGGCTTGAATCTCTGGAACTCACCTGCAGCTCCATTGGGCACCAACAGCAGCTCCCCAGACTTCCAAAAAGAAAAGGCGCACCTTCCGGGTTTAGGGCCGGGGGTCTGAAAGTGGCGGTTATACAACCGTGAGACGAATCTCAATAAGTGTACAACCCCAAACCCCACGTAGGCACTCACGTACCGCCAGACGAAAACACACATAACACACAACGATCGGCCAAACTAACAATCACATGCGACCCTACCTGGAATCCATCACGCACGTTCCTGCACGTTAGACAATAACACAGCCAACACATCACAGCAAGGAATCACAGACGCGCGCGTGCCTCAATTATAAGACAGAAACCACTTGGGCACGTCCCATACCGTGCCTAGCAGTTTTTACCCCATAATTAAGCATCACATCGCGCGATACAAACACACTCGCACGCTACTCACACCATGCGTCACTTTCCACAATCCTCTCGCTTGTCTTGCCAAATCCCACTAATTTTCAACCTTTCCACCACTACCGCGCCCGCGTAAAACGCATCAGGCCAACGGTCTTCTGACCTCGTCAGACATTGTCACCCCGTCGGGCCGGACATCGTCACCTCGTCAGGGACGGCATCGTCCCGCGTAAACGTACACGCCTCAGGACGAAATCCTACACACACTTTCCTTCTACCGCGCCCGCGTAAAACGCATCAGGCCAACGGTCTTCTGACCACGTCAGGCATCGACACCTCGTCAGGTCGGGCATCACCACCTCGTCAGGGACGGCATCGTCCCGCGTAAACGTACACGCCTCAGGACGGACCTTTCCAACCAATCCTACATTTCCGTACCCTCGTTCCACTCAAACCACACTTACACATGGCCAGCAACACTCACGGTCATACACAACCTCACGCCTTACACACAATCCACCACGTATGGTCAAACATACACACCTCACA